AAAGATGTCTTGGGACAGAACTGTCCTTGAAACATTTTACTTTCTTTGCATCTTTACTTATTCAGAGTAAAACCCTTTAACAATTACAACAAAAGAAATTCATCAGGTAAAAAATTCTCAGAGAAATGGGCTAAAGGAAGACATTTTCTGGAAACTTAGCCCCAGACACTTAAAATTGGCTTTGATCCAAGAAGACATTAAAATTTTTAAAAAAGGATTAATTGTTATTTTGTGTATATGTATTCTACATGTATGTCTGTATAAAACCTTCATACATTTGCCAAGAAGGCCAGGGAGGGCATTGGAACTGAAGTTGCAGATGATCATAAACCTCCCTATGGATGCTGGGAATCAACCCTAGTTCCTCTGGAAAAGCAGCCAGTTTTCTCAATTGCTGAATCATCTCTCAGTCCCCAAGAAGACATTTATTGCTTGTTTGTTTGTGTTTGAGACAGGGTTTCTCTGTGTCCCTGGGTGTCCTGGAACTTACTCTATAGACAAGACTGACTACAAACTCAGAGATCCACCTGCCTCTGCCTCCCAGGTGTTGGGATTAAAGGCGTGCACCACCACTGCCTGGCCCTGGAGGCATTGTTTTTTTAAAGCATAGAAACTTTTTTCTCATCAGCCTCAAGCAGCATTTGAGGAACTGGAATATATGAGTATTTCCTAGGTGGCGAGTTTTTAATAAACATCCTCTTATTTATGACTATTGCAAAATACACATAAAATTTATCATTAATATACTGCAATATTGTGTGCCCTTCACCAACTACTACACATTCCCAGAATATTTTCTAATCTCAAAAGGATATCCGGTGTCTGTGAAATAGTCATTCTTCCCTGTTCCTCCCACCCTAGCTCCTGACTGCTGCCAATCTAGTTTTTTTTTTTGCCAATCTAGTTTTTATCTCTGTCGATCTTATCTAGATTATTTCATGTTATAGAGCCATATAATATATGTCTGACTTAATTTGATGTTCTCAAAAGTTATCTATGCTGTAGCATGTGTCCATACTTCATATCTGAATGATGCTCCATTGCATATATGTATCATAGTTGATTTATCCGTTTACCATGAACCCCAGAGAGGAGACGGGGAAGGAAGGCAGGAAAACCATGTGTGTTGGGGGGCAGTTTAAATACCCTGTGGGAGTGATCTTGAGCATCTCTGGTCATCATTTGGCAGGCTTTCTCAGGGGTAGAGCCTGGACTGAGACAACTCCCAGGGGAGGGGGCTTAGGATGGAACTTCCACCCAAACATCCCAGACTCTTTGGGTATGGGACGCCAGCTCAAGTCTGGCTACTTCCTGTGGGCATGGGGCAAGGAGAGTTGGAAGTTGGTGTGGCTGGAGAGGCATCTGGTTATCTGCCATCCGGGAGACCTCATGCATCTGTTACTTGAGGGAGCTGAGAAGGCAGGTTGCTCGGCAAAAAAAAAAAAATAGATTGTTATCATCTGTCTGGGTTGTACTGATGAAGATGAGTATGTTAAGAAGAGGAGCAGATAGGCGCTTCATTGTGGCATCTTAGAAAACCAGAGGCTAGAGAGTCTCAACTGTTGGACAGACCAACTATCCTGAATAGGTGCCTACTTGATCCTGGAGAGAAGGCACCAGCATGGGTGTCCCAGAATCTTGGCAGCCGAAGGGGTGGTAAGAATCACCATGTAAGACCCTATTTATCGATATTCTGGAGACCTAGAAATTAGCTGTTTGAGGTGTACTCTTTTCCCTGGGGAGAGTGTGGCAGGCTCAGGAGCATTTGGGTTTGTTGGTATGGGGGCAGGGAGGTAGCTGTCAGCTTGTGAAGGGAGAAGGGACCTCAGAAGGGACCTGTAGGGTAGGTATTGTACCCAGCCAGTGGAGGAGTTTGAGCCAGGAAGTAGTGATTATGGAAGAAGAGCCTGCCATAAAGGAATTTGAAAGGGTTTAGACCTGTAGGAGAATGTGGGGTGGCCTGGAGGTGAGTAAGGGCAATGGGGAGAAGGGAGGGCCAAGATATCCTGAGTTCAGTGGAGAGCTTGATTAATTGTTGTTTGATGAGTCTATTGTCCCTCTCCACCGTTCCAGAGGATTGTGGATGGTAGGGGTTGTTGAGCTTCCTACTTGAGCTCCATGACCCTGGATGGTCTGTGGAATGCCAAACTGAGGAATGATATGATCCAGGGGTACCTGAGCCACCACATCTGCTGTTTCCCTTAGACTGGAAATGCTTCTATCTATCCTGTAAAAGTGTCCACAAATGTTAGGAGATAACAGAGTTTTTTATGAGTAGGCATATGAGTGAAATCAACCTGCCAGTCTTTACCCAGTTGATGTCCACGAAGCTGGTGCAGAGGGTGATGTATGAGGAGAGCCCCCTGTTGATTGGCCTGGGCACACATCTGACAGGAGGAATGAACCTGTGAAATATTAGCTTGGAGATGGGTGGGTCAAAGAGGGGCTCTAAGAAGTGGAACAAAACTTTGGGGCCTATGTGTACGTCTGGTGGATGTCTGAAATGATAAGCAATGCCTGGTCTTGAGGAAGGATGAGACAGTTATTTAAGTAGAACCATCCATCCTTTGTTTGTGTGCCCACCCCCCCCCCACCCCCCACCCGGTTTTTTATGAGTTCTCCCTCTCTTCTGGTTGATAACAGGGCTAATAGGAGGGAGTAAAAAACAAAATATGTTCTTTTGAATTAGAGGAGCTGGAGGCCAGCCTCCAGGCAACTGAGTCAGCTTTGGCATTGCCTAAGGCTACTGAATCCTTGGAGGATTGGTGTCCCCTGGTAGTGAATTAGGCTACTTCCTCAGGGAGCTGGAGGGCCTCCAAGAGCTTGGCTATAACGGGTCTGTTAAGTATGGGCGTACCCTTGGCAGTAAGAACGCCCCTTTCCTTCCAGAATACAGAATGGATATGGGCTATTAAAAAGGCATATTTAGAATTAGTATAAATGTTATTCTGTTGACTCTTGGCTATCTAGAGTGTTTTAGTCAAGGCAATTAATTTGGCCTTTTGTGAAGACGTTCCCATTGGCAGGTGGGTCACTTCAACAGTTTTAGTGGAAGTGACCACTGCATACACTGCCTGGCAGTTTCCTGGTCCATGTATAAGGGAGCTTCCATCAACAAACAGGGTGGGTTGAGGGTTCATAAGTGGTTGGTCTAGGAGACCTGGCCTGGGTGAGACCTCCACAACATCTGGGGCAGTAGTGAAAGGAGGTACCAAAGCAGGAGCGAACAGGAAGGAGGGTGCAGGGTTTAGGGCAGGACTGGAGGCCAAGGTAATTTGGGGGGTTTTCTAGAAATAGTAAGTGAAAGTATTGGCTAAGGTTTCTGTCTCACACGGCCCGTAGCTGTTCAGTCCCAAAGAAACACACAGAGGTCTACATTAATCATAAACTGTTTGGCCTGTTAGCTCAGGCTTCTTAACTCTTATAACTTATATTAGCCCATAATTCTTGTCTGTGTTAACCACATGGCTTGGTACCTTTTATCAGCGAAGCAGTCTCATCTTGCTTCCTCTGTGTCTGGATAATGATTGCAGACTCACCCTTTCGTCTTCCCAGAATTCTCCTGTTCTCATTACCCCACCTATATATGCTTCCTGCCTGACTACTGGCCAATCAGCATTTTATTAAACCAGTACTACTTAAAAAAACTTTACAGGGTATATAAGACCATTGTCCCACAGCATGAAAGACTTGTACTTCTGACGGCCCAAGGAGGGAGAGAGAAGAATGATTCAGAAGATCAGAGGTGGTGGGTGGAATATACCATAATTGGCCTGAACAGGATGTTCTTGAGAGCCACCCTGGTTAGTTCAGGTGCTGCTGCCAGAGCTCTCAAGCATGGCTACCATCCACAGACGGTGAAGTCCAGCTGTTTGGACAAAAAGGCGACTGTCTGATTCTAAGACCCAGCCTGTTGGGTTAGAACTCTGGTGGCCACTCCTAGCCTTTCTGTTTAAAGGTGATAATAAAGTCTCATGGTATCTGGAAGAGCAAGGGCAGGGGCTGTTAGAAGGACAATGGGTGGGTGTTTGAGTACTAGCCCCATGGGGGTCTCTCTGACTGCCTGGTACAGAGGCTTGGCTGTAATGGCAAAATTAGGGATCCAATGATGGAAGAATCCCATCAGGCCCCAAAATAAGAGAATCTGAAGTGCTGCTGTGAGGGGGGTGGGGAGAGGCTGTAAATCCTGCAGGGCTTGAACCCTGTCAGAGGTGAAGATCTTAGATCCTGGGCTGAGTTGAACATCCAGATAGACCACTGTGAGAGAGCACCACTTTGGCTGTTCAAATTGACATTTGCCAGCCATTGTTCATCAAATCAAAAATAAAGACAGTGCATTACATACAGAAGGTTTTGTATTTTCCTTTTAGCAGCATATTTGGAGCAGACATGGTGGAGTACTTCTGTACTCTTAGCACTTAGGATATGGAACTATGAGAATTATGAGTTTGAGGCCAGCCAGAACCACATATGTATTAAGTGTTGGTACTAGATAACACTTTGTCTTTTTTTAGGTGGTGAAATGGGGCTCTTGATATTGTAGCTCAGACAGGTTTGTAACTCTAAAGTTGACCAGGCTGAACTTGAACAGGTGATCTTCCTTCCTCTGTCTTTACAGTGCTAAAATTACAGGTTCAAGCCACCATAACTTGTCTTTGTCTGTCTTTATAAAAGTTTCTCGATTTAACTTTGAGTCCTTTTAAATGTAAAACAGAAAACCATGTAAAATAAAACATATGATTATTACCAAGTTTTTCTAAGGAAACAAGTGAAATAACAGTAACAGTTTTAAATGTTAAAAAGTAGTTAATGTCTGCATTTCTAACTTGGTAGTCTTTGGTCCTTTTGCTGTTAAGTTGCTATGCAGTTCAAACAATTTTGGGAGTTGTTCTATGCATTCATACAAAAATAATTATAACTTCTGACTGAACCACTGTTGTAACTTTGTGCTTAATATGTCATCCTCGCCAGGCAGTGGTGGTGCATGCCTTTAATCCCAGCCCTTTGGAGGCAGAAGCAGGCGGATGTCAGTGAATTCGGGGCCGGCCTGGTCTACAAAGCAAGTTCTAGGACAGCCAGGGCTACACAGAGAAACCCTGTCTTGGGGGGGAAAAAGTCATCCTCCCATGACTGTGAGTAAACTTACATCCCTCATGACATCATATAAATGATCTGACATACTGACTATATACTGAGATTTTTATTACTTATGAGTTACCAAGTATTGACAGTATATTGCAATATTTATACCATGTTGTCTTATATGAAAATTTCCAGACTTTGATAATTCTTGATAACCAAGACAATGATAAAGAAGTTCATATTCTATCTTTTGGAGAAAATGTATTTATCAGTAAAGAATCTTTGGCAAATTGTTTCTGTCTGCTGGTTTCCTAACATCTTAGTATTAGAAGCTTATGTAATAACCCAAAAATGTTTAGATATAAGAAAAGACCTTCCAGCTGTCAAGCTATGAGCATGTTTAATGATTCGCAGTTGTGGCATGGTAGTTAAATTATTGAGTCAACTTAATCTAAGTGTTAATTTATTTATTTAGTCACTTCTGAGTTTCGTACTGCACGGTTGCAATATGTGGTCCATCATGAGACTCAGTTTGGAAAACACTGTCATGCAGATTGACAGCAAAGTTTTACCCTAGGTGTAGTATCTAAAACTGGATATTTAAATGGGCTTATTGTAGGTTAGTGGCAGCCTTGTAAACAAGCAAACAACAAAACTTGGTTTCTTCCATCTGCAGTGCTTACATAGTCACTAAATTTCATTTTTGTTTTCTGCACTTAAAATTTTTTACTGACTGAAAGGTGTTGTTGGCTCAAGAACTATCGGAGGTATGACTGACAAAGGAAAATTTAGTATTGGTTGGGATTTCATAGTTATCCATATACTATTAAAATTAAGACTATTAGTAAATGATAATGTTACCAACAGTGAGAGTCTCTTGTTTTCAGGTTAATCCTCTGTTAAGGAATTGAAACAAAGCCCACACAGATCTGCAAAAGTACTATGAAAACTTCATTTAATACAAGCAATAAAAAATACCAGAACACACTGAAGGCAACAGCAGGCTATGTAAGTAAAAATACTCAGAGGCCCAGATTATTTTTCAGGGCTTCTTCTTATAGGGCTCAGAAGGAGCTGTTTGGTGACCTGGGGTGTAGTGAGATTTGTTCTCTGTTTTGATTTATAGATTAGGTTGCATAATCATTTTTTCCTCTACTCATGTCTCTTCCCATAGTGCAACTGATTTTAGTTATATGTAAACCCAGTACGTAGAAGGCACATGATAGCCTTCTACCAGGGGATTCTCCCTCAAAGTTCACTTGAGGACACGATTTTGCCTTACTGCATGCTCACTTAAAGTAGTCCAGGCCAGATCATCCCAGGTTACTAAGCTGTTCCCTATTTTTGCCTGCCTTAGTTATATAAATAAGTAATAAATGAACCTATGAGATGGCTCTATGGATAAGTGTTTGCCCTAAAGCTGATGACCTGAGTTTAATCCTCAGAACCCACATGATAGAAGGAGAGAGCATGCTGTTTTGGTTCACATTGTGTGCTGTGAACACACATATACATTAAATAAACAAATAATGGTAAAAATTTTATATATACCAGTTTTTCAAGTTAACTAGCCAAAAGATGTCATTAACCAGAATATAGCCTCAATCCTTGGTAACGAGAGCATTTATAATATGAAAAGTCTATATAATTAAACATAGTTATTATGAAAAATATTTGCAAGCACTAATAACTTGGTTGCTTCATTTATATTTAATTCCATACACGTTTTATACATTTTATTTTTAAAGTATGTATATGGAGAGGGTACCTTTGCGTGTGTGACTAAAGGTACTCTTGGAGTCTAGGAGAGAACATTAGATCCTTTGGAGACAGAGTTACAGACAGGTGTGAGTCACCAGATGTGGGTGCTGGGAACCAAACCTGGCTCTTTGGAAGAACAGTATATACACTTAAGTACTAAGCTATCTCTCTAGTCCCACATGTTTTGTTTTTTGCAGAACCAAGAAACTTGACTTTTCTTGGTTGACAAAACAAGGTTCAGTTAGAGGCTGAAGAGATGAGATGGGGAGTTAAGAGTATGTACTGTTCTTCCAGAGGACCAGAGCTTGGTTCCCAGAACCCGTGTCAGCTGGTTCACACAACCATTCACAGCTCCAGAGGATCTGATACCTTCTTCTGGACCCTGCAGGGGTACCTGTGCTCATGTGTCTCTGTCTCTGTCTCTGTCTCTCTCTCTTTCTCTCAAAACTCTGCAGGGGCACCTGTGCTCATGTGTGCATTATTCCCTCCCTCCCCCTTCTTTGCAGGGGCACCTGTGCTCATGTGTGTATTATTCTCTCTCTCTCTCTCTCTTTCTCTCTCTCTCTCCCTCCCTCGCTCCCTCCCTCCCTTTCTCTCTCTCTCTCTCTCATACACACACGAGAGATAAAAACAAAATAAATATTAGAAAAGTTTAGTCAGAACTGGACAGTGGTGGTGCACGCCCTTAATACCAGCACTGGGGAGGCAGAGGCAAGTGAATCGAGAGCAGGTTTGGTTGCAGGTTAGCCAGGGCTACACAGAATAACCTGCCTCAAAAAACAAAACATAAAAAAAGAAAGAAAGAAAGAAAGAAAGAAAGAAAGAAAGAAAGAAAGAAAAAGTTTAGTCAGATTACATGTAGATAATTTTAATGCAATATAAGAGCTATTGATTGTTCTGAGAAGTATACCTAATTCAGCAAAAAACAAAACAAAACAAAAAAACGTTGTTTTCTGACCTTACACAATGGCTTACCTTTGAACAGTTAAAGATAGTACATTTCGGGCTGGAGAGATGGCTCGGTGGTTAAGAGCATTGCCTGCTCTTCCAAAGGTCCTGAGTTCAATTCCCAGCAACCACATGGTGGCTCACAACCATCTGTAATGAGGTCTGGTGCCTTCTTCTGGCCTGCAGACATACACACAGACAGAATATTGTATATATAATAAATAAATAAATTCAAGTTTGTTAAAAAAAGATAGTACATTTCACATAAGAAGAGTAGAGACTTGAAAGCAGAAAGGTTTGGTGTGTTCAAGAAATAAAAAGTAGTTAATTGTTGTAGAGGCATTATTTTGAGCAGGGGAAGAACTATCATCTCTTACAATCAATACGTACTGATGGATATGAATGAAACAAAAATAGGCACAGAACATTAAAAAAATCATTGAAGTGGCTTAGAGGAGAAATAGACTTGAAGTCAGGTAGTATCTACAGAAACGGAAAAGGCTACTTACCGAGACAATTAGAATCAACGATATTTGACCACCATTTAGATTAATTTATACAAAAAATATCTTGTTTCTGCTCTGTAATCCCAGGAACACAACTATGAACAAAAATATTCTCTGCCTTCACAGAGGTTTCAGTGCTGTAGGACACGCAGGCACAGACTTAAGCCATGTATACCCTGAAAGTATGTGCATTGACTGCTTGATTTCAGAAACTGAGTGGTGGATAAGTGTGTTAAAACAAAGCTAAACTGACGTGCATTGGTTTGGAGATGAGAGAGATTTGTTGTGACTGGGTCGTGGTATTGAAGAGGAAGGAGAGGCTTATAAGCGAGGAGCGGAACCATTCAGACCCCTGGAATTCCTAATGAAGGCTTAGACAGAAGGAGCTAAGGTTTGATTTAAAGCAAAAGAGATTCCAGATCAAATCACATGGTAGATGAGTTAAGAAGGCTTTAGCTGGGCCAGAAAGATGTCTCAGCCATTAAAGGCTAGGCTCACAACCAAAGATATAAGAAGGTTTCAGTTATAAGTAAAATCTTCAGCACAGGGCAGAGAAAGTGGCTCAGAGAAGCAAGAAAAGCCCTTGGACCTGTTGGAGGTTTGGTATCAAGCATGATCTTTAGTTAAGCAGTTGCTACATAGCATGCCGTCTTTCCTTTTCTCTTTTTGTGTACTTCCTTTTGTGTGTGTGTGTGTGTGTGTGTGTATTGGTTTCTCTAACTACAAAACTGACCAAACCCTCACCAGTTTTCCTCACATCTCTGGATTCCCCGAAGAAATCCTGAGTGGCTTCTTAAATCAGTTATCCACTACTCAGTTGGTCTACTCAGCAATGGCCAGGAGGGGAGGGTGCTGTATAGCATTAACAGTTGCTGCTACAAAGCCATACCCTCTTGTAGTTAAGGCATGTAGTAAGTCATAGGATGGGGAGATTCCTGGTAAGAACTTTAGACAGTCATTAAGGATGCAAATTGAAGAATGGGGAGCAAAGAGAGGAGTGAGGGGACTTTAGGCGAGTACAATAATCTAGGCACTAGGTAATGTTGGCCTGAGTTAGGATGTTGAGTAAGAGGAAAATGGATTTGTGTTAGATAATGTTTGAATCTCCAGAACTACATAGATTGGATGTGGGAATATGAAGAGTCAGGGATAATATGTTATGTTGACTACAAAGATGATGAAAGCAGTTTCTGAGCTGAGAGAACATAGAAGAAACAGATTTGTTGGGAGTTGAGGGAAATGGTTATTTTTGTACATGTAATTTGAGGTAGCTTTGAGACACCTGAGTTTTCTGGTAGACCTTGCATGTGTGTGTCTGGAGTAGAAGAAAGGCTCAGTGGTAAATAAATATTTGAAACCCTTGAGCTTTTGGTAGTAGCAGAAGCTCTATGGGTAGATAAAATTGTCCTGGGAATGTATAACAAGAGATGTGGACCAAGACAGCCCTCAAGGGAATCCTATTTGAAGGCTCCAAAGGAGACTGGACAGGGACAGAAAGGCATATAGTTTACAGTATTCTTAGGAACCCAAGCAAACATATGCCAGGCAGCAGACTGTCTGGCCTTTTTTTGTCAGTCTGGAAACAAAATTGGGAAATATAATTTATTAAAGGCAGTATAAAGCTATCAGATCTTCTTAAGTGTATTTAAAAGGAGGATAGGCTGCTTGCTTATGGGATTTGCGCAATATTATGAAAAAAAACTGAGGAGTGGTTAAAAAGTAGACTACTGATATTAAGGTTCTTGATGAATCTTCAGAGGGTTCAGGACATAGGAGAGTGTAAAAGAAATTGCCTAGGGCTTGCTGAGTAATCTTGACATCTTGCTTGGTAGTTGCTTATTACCAGCAATAATATATGCTTACTGTTTTATCTCTACAGATATGCTATTGATAACATTTTTTAAAATCTTAGTAGCTTCCTATGTTAAGAAAAAGTATTAGCCATGTTCTGACTTTTTGGGGTTTTTTTGTTTTTTGTTTTTTGTTTTTTGTTTTTTTGAGGCAGGGTTTCTCTGTGAAACTGCCCTGGATGTCCTGGAACTTTCTCTGTAGACCAGGTTGGCCTTGAACAGAGATCTGCCTGCCTCTGCCTCCTGAGTGCTGGGATTAAAGGCATGCACCGTCACCACCACCACCCAGCCATGATCTGGCTTTTTAAATTGTAGTATACTAACAATTTAATTTCCTCACGCTTATTATTACCAAGGACATTAATACTCTGAGGGCCATTTGTTCTTGTTCTTGTATATCCAGTGTGCTGTTTGAGGTTGCCTTGTTTGTCGTTGTCTTAACTTGATATTTTTATTCATAGTTTTTTTTTCTCCCTCTCTAAAGTACTTCATATGGATCATAAGCAACCTACTAGTAGCCACACTCCCAAGCAGAATGGTTCTTTCTCTTCTATAGTTTTCGACTGCTGATAGCCTCTCAGGGATGGGAGCCTCATGATTTCCCTCATCCATGCTATAGTTTTGACTGGCTTGGTCTTGTACAGGGCTTTGCAGCTAGCCACAACTGCTATAATTTCAGGAGTGCAGTAGCTGTGCCATGTCCAAAAGATAGCATTTCACAGCACTTTCCCCCTTCCTTCCTCTGGCTTTTACATTCTTTCTGCCTTCTCTTGGCTGTTTCTTGAACCTAGAGTGGTTGAGGGTTTTCTTGATAAAGTTGTCCCATTTAAGGATGAGACTTAGGATGTTACTGCTGCCCACCACAAAAGGAAGCTTCTCTGCAAGGTAGAGGCAACTCTCTGGGTGGTAAATATCATATGAGTTATGTATCTCTCTGTGCCAG